GTAGGGCATCACATTCTTTTTCACTGAAAACCTCTGCCAGGTCCCAGTATTCATTGGGGATGACTGGATCGCCTGGAGGCGGTGAGGTGGCCATGTGCGCTCGCTCGTTGGGTGGCCTAAGGTGTCCTGCAACATCTGTTGACTCAATGGGGGGATCAGGCCCTATAGGTAGTCTCACGGTTCTCATTCCTTTCTCCCATCAGATGAATGGTTTCCATTTGTCTAACCAGGCTAAACCTAGGATCACCGCCTCAGACATTTTTGGAGCCACCAGGAAGTGAATAAATTCCCAATGTGCACCTATTTCTAGACGTAAAGGTTTAGTTACTTGCGTGACAAGAGCCCCCCCCATGAGAGACCCATCGGCTTGCTCAAACCTCATGGGTTCAGCGAGCGATTTTGCTCGAATACCCAATTTCAAGGCAAAGGGTAAACTAATAATACATTGGGTGCATCCAGAATCTATTAGCACATTTAAGTTCATTTGTACTCCAGATTTAGGGATTATAAGTTTGGCAGCTAGGGAAAAAGGCGGGATTTGTCGACTCACCATTGGGTCGTTCTCCCCTTCGTCCTCACTGTCGAGAGAGGGTAGAGCTGGGGGGGATCCAGCCTTAGTCCCGGCATCCTCCTGCGCAGGCGAGGTGACTTGGACAGCTCGTTCTTGCTTGTTCCGATTGGATTTCCCTCTCGGTGGTTGTTGATTAGATTTCTTTTTCGTTGCGGGTCTTGGTCTGCCCTGTTGTTGGGGGTAGGGAACTGGACAGTTCGCTGCTCGATGTTCCTGTTGTCCACATCGGAAGCACAAGAACGGCAACCCTATGGGAAGTTTGGGTCTTTCGGTAGGCGCAGTTGTTGGGGGCCTCCAGGGTGTTGGTTGTTGTCTGAGTCGTTCTGGTTTCGGTCCCATTTCAGGAGAGGTAGGCTTCTTGTAACGAGAGAGCTTGACATCTAACTTCACCGCTGTTTGGTACCAATCCTGCAGCCGATCGGGTATTTTGCGGTAGATGCAGGCCTGAGAGAGATGATCGTCTAATCCCTCAACAAAGTATTGAACTAGGGATTGTTCGGACCACCCCTCTGTTCAGCCTGCTAATTTGCGGAACTCCCGCACATACTCTAGGGCAGGTCTTCTGGCTTGTTTTATTTTGTGAATTTGTCTTGCTACTTTGAGGGCCATGGATGGGTCCTCAAATCTTTCTTTCAGGCCTAACAGAAGGACGTGGGGATTTCCCAGTTCAGGGGCTTGTTCACTATATAAATTATTCAGCCATTCGGCTGCTTCTCCCTCTAGGTTGGATGCAATAACGTCGACCATGGCACCTGGGTCCGGATAGTGGTTGGCCCAGCGGTTCAAGTGAGAGCGCCCTTGGTTGAGAAAGAAAATCAGCTTTTCTGGATCTCCATCGAAGGTTGCTTTGAAAGGTGGTACAACCACAGGCTGTTGTGGGAACCACTGGGGTTGTTGTGGCTGGCCCCACCCCGGTTGTTGGTCCCATGGTTGCTGGGCTCTCTGCTGTTGACATGGTACCACTAGTTGTTGCTGATCTAGTAGTTGTTGGGCTCTATATTGTTGATGGGGTGCCCCCAGTTGTTGGCCCCATCCTGCCTGCCAATCTAACGGTTGTTGGATTCTCTGCGGTTGACGTGGTGCTCCCAGTTGCTGTTGGCCCCATCTTGCCTGCCGATCCAGCGGTTGCTGGATTCTCTGCAGTTGACATGGTGCCCCCAGTTGTTGTTGGCCCCATCCTGCCTGCCAATGCAACGGTTGCTGGACTCTTTGCAGTTGACGTGGTGCCCTCAGTTCCTGTTGGTCCAGCCCTGCCTGCTGACCCAACGGTTGTTGGATTCTCTGCGGTTGACGTGGTGCCCTCAGTTGCTGTTGGGCCCCTCCTGCCTGCCGATCCAGCGGTTTGTGGATTCTCTGCTGTTGTTCAGCGGGGGCTGGTGATGCCTCCTGCTGCTGTAGGACTCTCAATGGCTGCTGGGCAAGTGGGGGTTGTTGCTGGGCATCTCTAATCGTTAAGCTCACCGGTTGTAGCTGTTCTGGCCTCTGCTTCCCCTCAACCTGCTGCAAAGCCTCTATTAGTTGATTTAGGCTCAGAGATAGGTGACCACTTTTCTGTGGGGGTTGCTTGATTTCATCTCGCTGTAAGGGGCCTGGGCAGGGGACCCCAGGGGCTGAAAAACTATTTGCTCTGCAAGGGTGGGGCTGGGGGCCTCTCTCAACGGAAGCTGTTCTTCGCTCTGCACTTCCAACTCTTCAAATCTCTCTGCTAGGTAGTCTAATGAACTACTGCGAACTGCAGGTGGGCATCTCCACTCACCCAAGTCTTCGGTGACAGACGGCCGGGTAGTTCTCCACTGGGTCTCCACTGCTGGCAGGGCTGTATGAAAATCTGCAGAGCCTTCGCTCAGTTTTTCCCAGCCTGACGACCAGATTAGTTCTCCAGACAGCTTTGACCTCGCTCCCAGTTGGAAAGTTTGCAAGGATTTCTTTTCCTCCTGCTGATTAGCTGTCACTCCCTTCAGTGGGGAAGCTGCTGCTGCTGTTGCTCCCCCTCCTGGGGAGGTTGCGGCTGGAGGGGTGTGGGCCTCAGGCCTTTCCTCTCCTTCCATGGTGAGATCTTCCCCTTATCTTTGTCAAACTATCCCCGTTATTTTAGGGATAGTGACTGGGGTAAGGGACCCCTAAATGGTTTTAAAAGTTTTTTGTTCTTGGCTTAATGTCATGGTTCAGAAAGAAATAACTTTTCAAAGAACTTTGAGGCTTAATTACCTTAAAGAATCCTTTAATAGATTACATGATTCGGCATGAACAGAGGAAAGCCAAGAACTGAAACACCCCCCACCTTAGCTCTCGTGACAAGGCACAACTCCCTCCCTCCTTTCACAGTCATCAATCATATGCTCCAATTAATTTGAAGTGTGAGTCGTTCCTCCGTCTATTCTCTGTTATTGCGCTCTGCTGTTACTTTGACCTTGGCTGTGCTATGCTAAGATAATGTTATTATTCACAAGCATTCCTCCCCACTCATATGGCTAGCAATGTCTGCTTTAACCCTTGAAGTGATATGTAGGCTAAATAAGATATGTTTGCTTCTTCACATATGTCGAGCAAGAATATCTAATGTTAGCAGACTTGACAGTCTCCTCATCGGTAGTCACCCCTCCAGGGTGACTTTTTGACCTGATTAAGGGTCTACTGGCAGAGGAAAAGCAAGTAACGAAGAGAGTCTCTTCGTGTGCCTGCACCCACTGCAACCCAAAACCGGAAGTCTGGTTCTGGTGTATCTTGATGACATCCCGATATACAGCACGAATATGACTGATTATATAAAGTTGGTGAGAGAAGTGTTAAAGAAACTATTGAATGCCAAGCTTTATGTCAAACTGTCAAAATGTGAATTTCACCAGACCCGATTAGATTATCTTGGCTACAGAATTTACAATGAGGGCATTGAAATGGACCCACCCAAAGTGAAAGCTGTAATTGAATGGCAGCCCCCAAAGACTCACAAACAGCTCCAGAGCTTCCCAGCTTTTGCCAACTTCTACCCTCAATCCATCCCCTCCTTTGCTGAGATTGCCCAACCCCTTACAGAACTACTCAAAACAGGCAGAGGAGGAGGGAAGCCGTGACCGGGCCAACCACTAGCATGGACCATGAGCTGTCAAACCACTTTTGAGAATTTAAAAAGACTATTTACTGTTGAACCGGTCCTAAAGCACCCATGCCCAGGGGAGCCCTTTGTAATTCAAGCCGACACCAGCGACGTGGCCATCAGAGCTGTATTACTGCAATAGAACCAAAGTGGAGCTTTGCAACCCTCCGCCTACACCTCGAAAAAATTTACTGAAAGCAAAAGGAAGTGGGCCATCTGGGAAAAGGAGGCTTTTACAATCAGGTGGGCTCTATTAAACTGGAGACACTAGGAGGGAGCAAAGTGCCTTTTGAAGTATAGACAGATCACAAAAATCTAGAAGCACTGAAAACTACTCGCAAATTGTCCCCGAAACAGGTGTACTGGGCACAGTACTTTAACCATTTGAACTTCATTCTAAAGTACATACCGGGAGGGTACGTACCCCAGAGAAGGAAATATTAAAAGGGCAGAATATTATATTTCCTCAAAGAATCTTAAAGAGGCAGAAAAGCATGCCCAGTTTTTCTTAATAGCCCCAAGTCTCCCTCCCCCAAGCAGAAACCAGCTCTGTAGAAATGCAGATGTAATAATCCATTCAGGAAGGTTGGAGGCCTCCAGCTATAAACTGCAACCTTCTTTTTAAAGCAGTCGCCATGTTGTTTATTCCTGGCTTGGACTGAACCATGATGAAGACTTTTCCTTCTTTGTGGCAGCCTTGAGGATCAGGGCTCCCCCTTTCTCCTCTCAGGTGCAGCTGCTGTGCTATTCTGTGCTCAGGCTGGGAATCATTTTTTTCTTCCATAATTTTTATTCTCAGGACTTTGTCTCAAATTCTTTTACCTAACGGCGCACAACGACAGCAGAGCCTGGCACTGTCACTCCCCCCAGGCTCCGAAACAATGGAGGGGGACCAGGTCTACCTTGCCCATCCTCCATAGGGTAGCATGGAAGTCCGGCTCACCAGGGGAGTGAAAGGGACCAAAGAATGGCCTGGCTGGGTGGGTGGGCTGAAGGAAGTGGGTGCAGGGTGCGTGGAGCAGCTCCAGTCCCTCCACCAACCTCACTTCATTGTGGCAGCCGCAATGGGATCTGCCGCGTGGCCTCCTACTGCGAGCGGCCACAGCAGAAGTGGGACAGCGGCCATGCGGGCTCCCGCTGGATGGGGCTGTTGGTGCCGCCACTGCGAGGTGAGGCAGGTATCATAGAAAAGTATAAGACACTGCCTGAAACAGTAGGCGGCACCTACTGCCTCTTTTGGAGGCAAAAATAATATAAGACCGGATCTTACTTTGGGGAAAATATGGTAGCAGTATTCCAGTATTTGAGGGGCTGCCACAAAGAAGAGGAGGTCACGTTATTCACCAAAGCACCAGAGGGAAGGACAAGAAACAATGGTTGGAAGCTGATCAAAGAGAGAAGCAACCTGGAATTAACTTCCTGACAGTGAGGACAATTAACCAGTGGAACAGCTTGCCTCCAGAAATTTTGGGCGCTCCATCACTGGAGGTTTTTAAGAAGAGGCTAGACCAGGGGTAGGCAACCTTGGCTCTTTTATGAGTCATGGACTTCAATTCCCAGAATTCATGAGCCAGCCAAGCTGGCTCAGGAATTCTGGGAGTTGGTCCACAAGTCATAAAAGAGCCAAGGTTGCCTACCCCTGGGCTAGACAGTCACTTGTCAGAGATGATATATGTTCTTCTGCTTGAGCAGGAGGCTGGACTAGAAGATCTCCCAAGGTCCCTTCCAGCTCTATTCTACTCTAAAAACTAAGAAAGCCCAGTTGCCTTTTGAAAAAGTACCTTAGGGACAACATAAAACTGAAAGAGCACCGAGCTGACTCTAGCATACTGGAGTAGTTGACAGTATGCACTTTTTATTTTTATAGTTTTTTTTATTTAAAGAACAAAACACAAAAACAATAGCAATAGTGATGCACACATACATTGTGGAAGAGAAGGAAAAAAAACATATCCGTAAAAAGAGCTGGAACAAAAAGATAAAAAAATAGGTTCACACATTACAATTCTATATGTACTCACAAAGGCAAAAATATAATTTTGTAATCACATTCTTTAGGGCAAAATTATTCCAAACAAATATATTTCTGACACATTTATATAGCTATTTTTAAATTTAATGTATAGCTGTATAAATACATCTAGAGGCTCATAGTTGATGGCCAGTCAGATTTTCCCTCCGTTGAGGGAAAAGGGCATAAATTTATCTTTCCAATATTGCTTAATGCTGAGTCAACCCTGAGTTTATTAGTCTTTGGGACTCTTAACATACAGATAGTCCTTGACTTACATTTCTTTAGTGACCATTCAAAGTTACAACAGAACTGAAAAAAGTGACTTCTGACTGTTTTTCACAGTTACGACCATTACGCCATCCCCATGGTCACGTGATCAAAATTTGGACGCTTGGAAACTGGCTCAGATTTACGACAGTTGCAGTGTCCCGGGATCATGTGATCCTCTTTTGCGACTTTATGACCACAATGGGGAAGCCAGATTCACTTAACAACCCTGTTACTCCCTTAACTGCAATGATTCACTTAACAACTGTGACAAGAAGGGTTCTTAAAATGGGGCAAAATTGAATTATCTTGCTTAGCAATGGAAATTTTGGGCTTCATTGCGGTCATACGTCGAGGACTGCCTGCACTAGAGTAGCTTGGCATCATACACACTTAACAACTAACAATACTGTCATCCAAAGAGGGTTGGAGGGCAGCAAGGGGGAACTGGGGCTGGGCCAACAGGGTGGGGTGAGGGGGTGGGGAAGGAGGCAGCAATCAATAATAGTTTGGTATTTGGGCAGGTGAGGATAATCTAGAACAGGGGTCCCCAACCCCCGGTACATGGACCGGCACCGGTCTGCTCAAACAAGGGAAGCTGCATCCGCAGGCAGCATGCAGAACCACGCTCTCTCCGGTCTGCAGAAAATCCTCTCTTCACAGAACCTGTCCCTGGTGTTCAAAAGCTTGCAGGCCGCTGATCTAGAAGAGGGGTCTTCAAACTCGGCCCCGTTTATAACTCATGGACTTCAACTCCCAGAATTCCTCAGCCAGCGTGCCTGAGGAATTCTGGGAATTGAAGTCCATGAGTCATAAAAGGGCCGAGTTTGAAGACCCCTGATCTAGAAAGTGAATTTAAAGAGAAAGAATGGGAGGTGAATAATCCAATGTTTTGCTAGGGCACAGTTCAAAACAGATCACACTTCCATCACTCCGTATTAAGATTCTATAGGAATCCTGTCAGTTATCAGTGGCTTTCTTTGAAAGCAGTGTTCCTGATTTTTGGGAGGATGGTGCCCCTCATATTTTTCCAATATTTCAGAGGTGCCCCTGCTGGCTCCACACAATCAGAAGCCCCAAAGGAGGGACAATGGGAAAAGTGGCAAGAATAAGGCTCCAGAGGCACTAGTGGTTTATTCTGCAGTTGATGACCGATATGACCCCCCCTTCATCCTCTAAAACGGGTGGGGAAAGATGGCCCCTTTATGACTTGTGGACTTCAACTCCCAGAATTCCTCAGCCCTCATGGCTGGTTGAGGAATTCTGGGAGTTGAAGTCCACAGGTCTTAAAGTTGCTACATTTGTAGACTCCTGAGCTACCTGGTCAGCCCATCTTAGCTCTCTCCCTTCTGAACTCTTCCACAGTGTAATAAGAATGCACCCCTCAATCCGTTCGCTGTACCCTTAAAGACACAGGAATCAAGTGCAAAGCAATAAACACAAACTCCATTTTTTTAACTCTCTTTAAGCTGCCTCAGGTGTGTCACATGTCACAATGTTGCAATCCTAGACTGAAAGGCTCAGGCAATTGCGAAAAGCTTTAGATTTAAATTAAGCCTGCTTACCTTCAAAGAAAACTTTCTAAAAGGCAACTAATTACATTTCTTTAAACCTTTCCTGTTGTCTTTTTCTCCCTTCCCCTGCCCACACCATCTCCTTTTATAGCCTTTCCTCTCCTCCTCCCCATTTTTTTTCAGTTTACCTCCAGCTCCAAGCTGCTTCCGGAAGCGTCAATCAGCTGGAACCCTGCCGGCTGCTGGGGCTTCTGCCGAGCCCAGACAGTCATGCAGCTGCTTGGCTCACTTAGGCTCATTCCCCTCCCCTGCTACACTTGGCTAGCAATTGTGTACCACCTGCCACGTGGCAAAGTACCACAGATGGTACGCGTACCACCAGTTGAAAAGCCCTGTACTAGAAGACCTCCAAGGTCCCTTCCAGCTCTATTCTATTCTAACTCAAGCGGTTCATTTTAGCTTGCTGTATCAAGCAGGCCTTCACCTTAAACCATATATTTACTTCTTCTGCCATAACAGCTTTGTGAATACAGCCACCTTGTTTCGATAGCCTTGTTTTGTTTACCACACTGTGTTGAACTCAGCCTACATTTTGCTACACGCTAAATATCCAAGCAGTTAAAAAGCTTACAAACATCCAAATACATTTGCAAACATTTCATCAATTCAATTGCACTCCGAATAGCTCAGCCAGAGCCAGGAAGTTGACATCTTGACATGAACAAAGAGCCATGTGGCAACATTTCCTGTGCTTCCATCTCAATTCACATCATCGTTTCAGACTACGGAGAAAACATAGGACAAACAATGATCAATTCAACACTGCAGAAGGACATTAAAGTGACAGACCTGCAATGACAAAAACATCTACTTTTGTTCCTGGATGAGGACAACCCAGGAGACTAAGGTCTATCCTGGTCGGTGACTTCAAGCTGGAGTGTGACTCTGACTAACCAGAATTGATCTTGACTTCCTTCTTGGGATCAGCTGTCCCCCAGCTCAAACTTATATGGGTTTTATTTAGGTGGTGGAATAAAATAAAATGTACCAATAAAGGAGTATATTTGTAGCACAGGGTTGAAATGTATTTGTAGCTCTGGCTTGGGAATTCTGGGGGATGAAGTCCACACATCCTAAAGTTACTAAGGCTGAGAAACATTGCTTTGAGAGGATCCCTGGTGCTCTCTGAACTTGCTTGTTTTCTTGCAGACATTTCATTACCTAACTAGGTAACATCATCACTGCTAGTAAGGAGTCTTGTTTGCTGACAGCAAGCTCAGAGAACATCAAGGACCCCTCAAAATAAAATGTTTTGGCTTGACAAGGGAGAGACAAGTAGAGGGAGTTTCCAACTTTTGACCATAATGGAGCCTGCCCATTATAGTCTTAAGTCATGGTGGTCGTAAAACAGGTCGCCCATGTGACTGACCCAATTTTACAACTTATTTTTGAGGCAGTCAATTGTTCACTATGGGCTGGTTTTGCTGAAAACTGAAAATAGTCACAGCAGAGAAGCTGATTGGAGGGGCGCCATTGTATAACCAGCTTGGTCTAGTGGTGAAGACACCAGGTTAGAAACTAGGAGACAGTGAGTTCTAGTCCCGCCTCACATACGAAAACAGGCTGGATGAATTTCAGCCGATCACCAGGAAATGGTGAATTCTAGACCCGCCTTAGGCATGAAAGCCTGCTGGGACTAGCCACTCTCTCTTTCAACCCAACCCACCTCACAGGATTGTTGTTGTGGAGAAAACAGGAGGAAGAAGAGTACTATGTCTATTCCACACTATGGGTTACTTATAAATAAATACAAAGTAATTGTCAAGTTTCGAATAATTATTGCTTTTCAGCTGCCAATGAACTCCGGGGAGGGGGGAGGAGAAAAAGGAAGGGTTTGGAATGAAGACATCAAAGATTCAGACCGTGAGACTCAAGGACATTGCACCAGGTGTTTGACCAGACCCAGAAACACTTTCTCATAACAATATTTTTCTATTTGATTGGGCAACGTGACCTGACCCAGAGGGAGAAGGGAGAATTCCATGCTTTTACTATATGAGTTTGGGAGGGATCTTGCCAGAGCTGGTTTTGCTTTCATGTGTGCCAAAATGATGTACTCAATAAAGTTTTACATTAAGAGATTGGAATTTCTCGAAGGTGTTTGCTTGGTTGGGTTCGTCAGTCAGAACCTTGACAGTAATAAAATAAAATAATAAAGATGGGATACAAATCTAAACAGACAAACCTACCTGAAGGGCTCCAGGCAGCCCATAATATTTTTATAGCAGGCTGAGAAAATTTTGAACCTGGACTGTTCCCCAATCCTACCCGCCCGTCATTCTCATCGACATCTTTGCTTGCATTTGCTCTCAGATTCATTTCACAGCCTGGACTTTGATTCTCGCATGCAAAACACAAAAATATTTGGTAATAATTCTACACACAAGAAGGGTCATTCCTGAGATCATCCTCTCCTTTCCTGAATTCTAGATTGCAGAAAGAGAGAGCAAAAATAGGAGATGTTAGGAGAAAAGCCCAGGGGAAGCCGGTCAATGATGGGAAGGCGTAAATTTTAATGACCTCACTTCAAAAGATGCATATTGCAAAAGTTGGTGCCTTTTAACAAAATGTGTTAATCTGAAAAAGGGTTTCTAATGTCTGGGGGGGGGAGAAATAGGACTTTAATGTTCTCCAAAAAAAGACAGATGGGAAGCCCTGGAAAAAACCCAGAAAAATTGGGGGAAAACTGTTTGTCCAGTTTTTTCCAAATGGTTTTGGAAAAAACAGGAAACCCCCCCCCCCCCGTTTTTTTCCCATTTTTATCTGGGTTTTTTTTCCAGGCCTTCCCATCTCTATTTGGGACTAACCAAATCTCAGGGAGGGGAGGTTATTGCCCTGTTTCCAAAAGGAGGAGCAGGAATAGAGACAGTACCCTTTCTGGATCCAACCAAAAGACATTGCCGACACATCAGGAATCAAAGATGCCAACCTCACACGGCAACAGATCTTCCAAATCTGATCAAATCAGTCCCTCTCTTAGGACAGAGAATCTGAGGATCCTGGCTTTGATACAAATGGATCATGTTAAGATATTTAAATTTAGTAGCTGGAGCAGTGGGGTCGTGCAGTGAGCCAAAACACACAGGGGTTGTTGTCAACATCCAGCTTGAGGATTCAAATAAATCATCAGGTTCATTCTGTTTCTGAAAATCTTACTGTTTATTGAATACATGGCATGGTAATGTCAAAGCAAAATTAACTTTGAGGTTCCCAGACACCAGTTCATAGAATTAAACAAATAAAACAAATATAGGTTTTAATTTCTAATCCATGTCTATATGCATGTATATTTGTTTTTATGTATTTCCAGATTCATTCTTCTTTTGGGGAGGTGATATGTCAAGAATGAAACTTTGGCAGCTACATGCCTGTTCATTTCGACTTGCCATTTCTTTAGGTGTTATGTCTATTTGTTTTTAACTAGGTACCGATTGGTTGGAGAGTGCTGGCGCCTGCCTGAGGCAAACTGCACTGTGATTGGTTGCTGTGGGTGCGACGGAGGGGGAGTGTCCCTTTTTCCCCACCTTTTTTCTTCTGTGTGCCTCTGCTATTTGCCTGTTTGCCTATCTAGTCTGCTGTATATAGAGATGTTATATATATTTAATCATATAAACCTACAAGTTCGTGTTAGCCTCTCTGGCTTTATTTGGACAGCTGCTGGGCAATTCCCTGACAGGATCACCGGATTATCAATGACCAATGGATCATTCCCCAGGAGGGAAGGGAAATGGAGAAAGCAGCAGCAGAAGCAGCACCTGGGAGGGGAGGAAGATTTTCATTGAAGCCCTTCTCTTTGAACAAAGCCTTTGAAAGGGACAGAACTGGAATGCCTCTTCCCAACTCAGAAGAAGACAGGACTGTCAAAACCTTGGACTCAGCTGAACTGAGACTGGAATCCCAGCAAGAAGCTGAGATCTCAGATGCTCCTTAAGTCGGCTGGGAAAACAGGGAAAAAGGAAGCCCAGAAAAAGAAGAGAAACAGTTTGGGCTAGTGGTTAGGGCACTGGGCTAGAAAGCAGAAGACCATGCTTGAGATCAGGTCCTGCCTTAGCCATGAAAGCCAGCTAGGTGACCTTGGGCCAGTCGCATAAGCACCTCACATGGTTATTGTTGTGGAGAAGAAAATAGGAGGAAGGTGTGTTGGATATGTTTACAGCCCTGAGTTATTTGTGAAAATAATAAAGGCAGGTAATAAATGAATACATAAATAAACAAGGAAGCAGCAAGTAAGCAAACAA